TACCAAAAATTTCTTTAACAAAAAGCCTTTCATATTTGTACTTCCCCTCCAAGACATTAACAGACTTAAGTCCAAAGGTTAGTAGATGTTGACCTTTATTTAATTCAAGAAAACAGGCTTTGATATTCTCCAAGACTGTGAGGAACACACATTAGATTAGTGCTTTTCAACTGGGTTTGATTTTGCTGCCAGGGGACACCCGGTCACACCCGGAGGGAGACGGTTTGGGCTGTCCCGGCTGGGGGAGGGCGGACTGTGCTCCTGGTGTTCAGTGGGTAGAGGACAGGGATGCAGCGGGCACCCGACACAGCGCAGGGCTGCCCCGACCGAGAATCCTCCCTCCTCCCTCCCGCCCAAGGTGTGAACAGTGCCCAAGGTGAGAAATCCCGTTTCAGAGGCCTGCAATACCGTCTACCTGGGGGTGCAGAACCTGCCAAGCTGTAGTACAACTAGCTCTGCTTGCCAAAGGCCGGAGGGCAATCTTCCCAGCAACTGTTCTCCTGTCCCGAAAAGTGAAGTGCTAGCCCTGACAAAACCGAAACGGAGAACTGGTTTCCCCAGGTCATACAGGTTTTAAAAATGTTTACCACCAGGAAAAAAAAAGTTTTTCCAATAAAAAAAATTTTTTTCAGCATAAAAACATACTTTGAAAATCACACACACACACGCTCCCACTTAGCAGGGATGAATGCTAACAGTTTAGGTTTCTCTTAGTCATATACTATCTTTTCTATTTGTTTTTCTTTTTTCCCCAGACAGGGCGTCAGCCTTGCCGCCGTCCTCGGCCTCCCAGCTGGGCTCACCAGCACATCACCGTATCCAGCTCTTTCGAGTTTATTTCCTCCTTCCCTGGGTGAGCGGGAGAATCCCCAGGGTAGTCCCAACGCTGCATCTCCCCCCAGCGTCAGGCAGTGCTGGGTCATAGGCAAATGCGTCTGAGGCACTCAGGGTCTCCAGACTTGAACCAGGACTCTCGCTATGTGCGACTGCCTCAGAGCACCCAGTCCCCCACTTTCTTTGGGCCTTGCTATGTTGCTCAGGCCAGCCTTGAGTTCACGATCCTCTGCCTCGGCCTCCCGGATTAGCTGATACGACAGGTATGTGTCTGGCCTTTGGGTTGAGCCAGGAATTGAACCAGGGTCTCCCATGTAGTCCCAGCCTGTGGCACCTAGGATCTTAGCAGGACAAAGCACTGTGGGCTGAACCATGTGCTAGCTATCAATAATGAAATGAAGACAGTGCACTGAGCATGCCACTTCTTCACAACGCGTCTTGCACTTCTACCTACACCCGGCTGTACGGTAGGGCATCCGCTGGACGGATGGCCATGGCTACAGTTTGGATGTCTCCCAAAAGTCATGCATTGGGACCTGTTTGTATTATAAAGGTATTAAGGGGGCCAGCATGTGGCATGATAGGTGGGGTGCTAGACTCCCACGTGGCCAACTGAGGCTCGAGGCCTGGACCTGGTGGCTTGCTTTCTCACTTTCCCTGTCTGGTCAAATTAAAAAAAAAATAATAATAATAAATAAAATTAAGTAATTCTTTAAAAATAAAGGTATTAGGCAAAAACGTAACCCCTTCATGTTGTCCCACCCAAGGTGGGGTCTTTGAGTGCCATAAAAGCATTAGGCCTGGGTCCCTATCATTGAGTTCTGGTATAGGAGGGGAGGAGACAGAAGAGGCAGAAACTTACAGACAGCTGCTCTGCATGTGCTCCCTGTGTGTAGCTCCACCAGAGATTGGCCCCTGCACCTCAGACCTCTACACCACGAGGTAATAAATGTTTCCTTATAAATCACCCAGTCTCGGGTATTTCTAAAAGCAATGCAGTAACGGACAAATACAGCCCTCTTCCTCAGTCAAGTCCTTACCGATAGGCATGTAGGTTACTTACAATGTCTTGCTATTACAAAGAACACGGTACCGAACATCTGACCGTTGTTTGTGGACTCAAGGACTTCCTAGAAATCTAAGTGCTGAGTTCAACGTGTACTGTGATATCTGTATTAAAACACACCTGTATCATAGCTTCATTATTTGCATATTCATTAAACTAGTCCTTGCAGCTACCAGACTGTGTAGACGCAAACATTTCACTAATGAACTGACTTATAAAATTAGTCCAATCTTGGGGCCAGCAGGTGGCGTGGTGGTTAAGGGCACTGGACTCCCACATGGTCAACCACAGTTGGAGTCCTGGACCTGGTGGCTTGCTTTCTCACTTTCCCTCTCTTCTCTCTCTCTCTCTCTGTCCCTCTCTGGCCAAATTAAAATAAAGTTAAATAAAATAATTCTTAAAAATTAGTCCATTCTTGCTTCTTAAGTACCTAAGCTCAGTGTGTCTATCCTGCCCATTGTATTCTAGTCTTCTCTAAGTCACTAGTTACTGTAAGCAGGTGATAAATGATACAAATAAAATGCAGATTAGTTGCAATAATCACAAATCTTGCAAATAATGGTGGCTTTGATGACGTTGATAAATAAGCCTGGTATACTACTCAAATCTTAAGCCAAGCCACTGCAAGACGTGGACCTGAGGTGCAGACCGGTTAACACAGGGAAGCGGGGGCTGCCTGGTGGAGCGCAGTAAACCCTGACAGTGAGGCCGGCCCACAGGGGAAGGTTCCCAGTTGGTGTCCAGAGACTCCCCTGAGTACTCCAAGCACGTGCATGCCCAGCCCACGGTCTGGGGCTGGCTGACGCTGGGCATGGATCACGGCACTGGGACGCTGTCTGGGCTGATCTCTCTCTCACTCATGGAAGGAAAAAAACCACTTTTTTAAAATACAGGAGAAGGGGATGAGATAATGAACTGTACCAAAAAATAAATAAATAAATAGAGAGAGAGAATGATGTGAATATCAAAAGATTGAGAGGCCCTTAGGAAAAGTGGTGAAACCCCCAAAGATTTCACACAGGTTCCCTCTGTGATTACGCCACAAAAATCCAATGAGATGATCAGACACTAAGTAAGTTCTCAGAAAAACATTCGACTAATTCATTGTTCACTCTAAGAAGATATATCTGGGGGCCAGCAGGTGGCGTGGTGGTGAAGATGCTGGATCCCCCATGACTGACTCTGCAGTTTGAGTCCTGGACTTGAAAATCACACCAAGCACATGAAATAATGACGTTTTCATACTTTTCTTCCATTTTTGTGATAGAAGTCCCAATCAGGGACCAGCAGTTAGCGTAATGGCTATGTCACTGGACTTCCACGTAGTCAACCGCGGTTC